AACATGAGTGAGGCAGGGGCAGAGGAAGAGGGAGACACAGAATCTGAAGCAGGCTCCAGGCTCTGAGCTGTCAGCACAGAGCCTGATGTGTGCCTGGAACTTATGAACTATGAGATCATGACCTGAGCCAAAGTTGGACACTTACCCGCTGAGCCACCCAGGGGCCCCTTGCCTATTTTATTAATGGATTATTTGTCTTCTTATTTTGAGTTGTGAGAGTTCTTTAAGGATCACAAATATAAACTCATAGTCATATACATGATTTATAAATTTATTCCCTGTCTATGACTTGCCTTTTCATTTTCAATAGGATGTCTTTTAAAGGGCAAATGTTAATTTTGATGAGGCCCAAATTATCAATATTTTTTTCTTTGGATTGTGCTTTTGGTTTAGTATTTAAGAAATATTTCCCTATTTCAGGGTTACAAATATTTTCCTCTATAAATTTTATAATTTTAGCTTTTATATGTAAATCTATATCCATTTAGAGTTTGATGGAGTATATTAGCTTGAGCTGACAAAGCAAATTACCATAGACAAGGGAGCTTAAGGAATAGACTATTTTCTCATAGTTCTGGAGGCTGGCTGTTCAAGATCAAGATGCCATCATGGTCAGTTTCTGGTGAGGACTGTCTTTGTGTCTTGCAGATGGCCACCTTCTCCTTGTGTCCTCACACGGGAGGAGACACAAAGAAGGTTTCTGATATCTCTTCTTATAAGGGCATTAATCCTACCATGATGCCCCACACTCGTGATCTCATTTAAACTGAATTGTCTTCCAAAGACCTCAAGACCCCAGCTCCAAATACCATAACACGGGATTAGGGCTTCAATATATGAATATTGCTGTGGGTGCGGGGAAGGTGGGTACAATTCAGAATTCAGTCCACGCAAGTGAGGTAAGAGCTGAGGTTCATGTTTTTCCTAATGGGTATTTGGTTATTCCAGCACCATTTGTTTCTTTTTCACATCAAATTATCACAGCAGATTAAAAAAGAAATAAATTGGCCATATTTGTAGGTGTCCACTTTGAACTCTTCATTCTTTCCCAGTGATTGTTAGGTCAATTCTTATTTCAATACCACACGGTCTTGATTATTGTAGCTTCATCACAAGGATTAAAATAGGATAGTAGAAATCCATCAAGTACATTCTTTTCCAAATTGTTTTTGCTACTCTAGGTCTTTTGCAGTTCGAAATACCTTTGAGAATCAACTTGACATTTAACTTAGGAAAGTCATTTGTGATTGTTGAGATTACAGTGAATCTATACATTGATTTGGAGAGGGTTGTTATCTTATGAATACAGTGTCTTCCAAGTCACAAATGTGGTATATATCTCCATTTATTTTGGTGTTCTTTAATTTCTCTTAGTCATATTTTGTAGTTTTCAATATATAGGTCTTGCACATATTTTGTTAAAATAATCTATATATGTTTCATATTTTTATGAGATTAGAAGAGATATTCAAAACTTTTTCCCTTCCAATTATGCATTGCTTAAAATAAAATTGATTTTTGTATATTGACCTTATATGCTGCAACTGTGCTACATTCATTTCTTAGTTCTAGTAGCTTTTGTCTAGATTCCTTTAGATTTTTTTCCCTTACTATACTTAAGGGTAAGGAAGTTTGATTTTCATTGCTCTACACTCTGATTTTCCCACAGGCAAATACTACTGGAGTGTAACTCATTCCAAAGAATTACACATGGTAAATTAGTTCTTGTATATCTGCTGAGTCTTCAATGACATAGGCACCTAGTAACCCATAAAATTATGCTCCAAGCACCAGTTAGCACAAAGGCAGACATTCGGTATTTTCCCCTTATTTGTACTCCGAAGTTTTGCTGTAACAGGCCCATTTTTGCCTCATATTCCCGACTCATGACAGGTAACACTGATTTTTATTCTCAGACATTAAGTTTCTAATGATTTTTCCAGCATTTGAATGGTGGCTTCTCCCAAGCTTTTTGCTTGGCTTATATCTCCCCACATTTCCAGCTTGGGCTAAGGATATACCTCAGCAGAGTTCTCTAAGAATAGAGCTCTTCGGAGATAAGTAGAAGCTTCTTTCAGAAAGCGGAAAAAAATTATATAATTTCCAAGGAAGAGTATGTAATCATGATTTCTTAAATGCCCATTGTGTGACAGTACTGTGCTGTTTACTGCTTTCTATTCACAAACTCGCTCAATCTCTACACATTTATGTAGGAAGTAGAGATTATACTTCTTCTAATACAAGGAAGAAAACTGGAAGTTATTAACAAGTGACAGAGCTGTGATCTAAATCTGGTTCTCTCTGATTCCCAGGCACATAGGAGCTGGGGTGTCAAGATCATTTTTAAATATTTTAATTTATTTTTTAAGAAGTTATTCTGATAAAAAAAATGTAGAAAAAATTATCTCTTAAGCCAACTAAGCTAAACAAATAACAAAAATAAAACAGGAAAACTTTGAAAATTGTGGGCCTTACCTACTCTGATATATTTTATTTTTTAATGTTTCTTAAATTTATTAAAAATGACCAAGATTACAGAAGATCAATTAATATTGACTGTCAGATAAGCCAAGTTGCACATCAGGCAGTTGGATGTTTTGGTTGAGAATATCAATTTAAACACCGGGGAGAGCCAGATGTTCCCCTTAAAGACTTTGAAGAATCAAGAAATTGGCAAAAACTAACATGAACAATTATAAATGGAGTGAAAATTCCACATAACCACTATAAAAGAAAAAAACCCACCTTACTTGTTATTTAAAATCCTGAGTAGATGCCTTCTGAAATGAGGGAGTAGACAAGTAACAGTATAGATGCTCCTCAAAAATTAAAAATGGAAATATCATATGATCCAGTTATTGCATCACTGGGTATTTCCAAAGACAATGAGACCACAAATTCAAAAAGATATATGCACCCCTATATTTAAAACACCATTACTGATAAGAGCCAAGATGTAGAAGCAACCAAAATGTCCATTCATAGATGAGTGGATAAAGATGATGTGGTGTGTCCCCACCTCCGGCACACTAATATACCCATGATAGACTCAGCCATAAAAAAGAAGGAAATTTTGCCATTTGCAACATGGATGGACCTAGAGGGTGCTATGCTACATGAAATAAGTCAGACAGAAAATGACAAATACCGTATGATTTCTCTTATATGTGGAATCTAAAAAAAAAAAAAAAAGACAAACCCAAAACCAATGAGCAAACACATAAACAAACAAAAGAACAGACATAAATACAGAGAACAAACTGATGGTTGGCAGAAAGCAGTGGGGTAGGCAGAATGGGAGAAACAGATGAAGAGGATTAACAGGTACTAACTTATGGTTTTGAAATAAAATAAGTGAGTCATGGAAGTGAAAAGTAGAGCACAGGGAATATAGTCAATAATACTGTAATATTGTATGATGATGGATGGTGACACCTTTATCATGGTGAGCACTGAGTAATGCATGGAATTATCAAATCATTATGTTGTAACCCTGAAACTAATATAACATTGCATGTCAACTATATGTTGATAATAAATAACTTGAAAACAATAGGAAAATTGGAACACCTTGGAGAAAAATCCAGAGGAGGGAATTTGGGGGGTAATGTTATTAAGTAATGAAAATAAACCATCACATTTTTCTATACATACATTAACATTATGGCCAGTAAAAAAATGTATCAGAAACCTTATGTCATTGAATAAGTTATAACTATTTTTCATAACCATATACTTTTTAAAACAGTATACATGCCTACAAATATTCATTTTCTTAGGAGAATTATTTCCCAATAGTTATCTAGAATGTGATTACTCTTACTACTGTCAATATCCAAGAAGATTGAAAATAGACAGTTGAGTGAACTCACAGCCACTAAGTAACCATAGGATTGGAGCCTCTTAGAGAAATCAGTGTAGTAGAGGGTTTAATATAACCTAGTCCAAAACTGAGTGGTAGATTTACTTCAGCTCAACTTAGGTTATTTCCGCCCCCCACCCATTAAAATTTTAAAAGATACATGGCCTTGACTTAACCTGGATGGATATTATTAGAACCTGACCTTGAATAAGTATTTAGTAGTTTTGTAAGAACAAAGTTATGAAATTAAAATTGCTGTATCAAGTGCAATAAAACTTTGCTATAATTATAATACCACAGATCCTCAGAATGTGATAAATCATGTCCCTAGTGTGAAGACTGATACATTAAATGTCTCTTACTAGATAGAGTCCCCATATCTAAGTAGGTCTCCTCTTCTATATGTGACAACAATATCACAAAGGGGTCATTGCACAAATATATTTATTTAGCTGGTTGAAGCTCATGGCTAAATCTGTGTCTACAAATAATGATTACGAAACAAGCACTCACTTAAAACATTTATGGATTCCAACCATATGCTATGATTAAGAAACCAGCATACTTGCTTTTGACATGCTATATTTAAAATCTGTGTTAAACATTTCATATATTACAGATTTGAAAATATTTCTTCAGTCACTCTGAATTTACATTTATACTTAATTAATGTTAACATGAAAATATGAATAAATGAATACTGGATTAATTTATCGGCAACCTAAAATGTAATATTTAAACAATTTAATATAAAATTCCTTTCAAAATTTTTTGCTTAAAAAAACTCACAAAAATAAGGCTAGTAAGGACATGTTGAATTTTATGGGAGTCCTATTACACTAATAATATTATAGGATACACTAAAAACATAGTATTGGAATAATATTGCAAAGTACATTGTATGATTAAAATAATTATGAAATCATTTGAAGCCAGTGTAAAAGACTGAGATGTTTGGAATGGAGTAACTAACCTGTCACAGAATTAACACGTTTTATTTAGACTATCAACAAGATCTGAAGAAATTATATATTTGGTCATTTCTACCCCTTCTAAAACAAGTGGACATCCTGGATGGAATTTTTCCTTCTGGAGTCTGTTCTTTACCCACCTCCTGGTTGTGACACCTAGAACTTACCTCCCTGACTCAAAGGTGAACCACGTTGAGTCCCGTCCATATCTCCTCAGTGAGCTGAGTGGCCACATCACCAGTTTGACCTTGGCATTGTGGATATCCCAGAGATAGATATTCTCATGAGTGATCTGCATTGTGCATTCGCCATAAATATCCAAATTTGGTGTGGGCATAAGATACACGTTGAATCTCTCTGCAGGGAAACAAAGAATGGAGCAGATAAAGTGAAAAGAGGTGTGAGTTGTTATGGTAGCACTGTATTAATTTGTATAACTACCTACAGCCTTCAGAAACATTACCGTGTTCCTTGGGAACATATGTACACAGTGCAAAACACTACCTTTTTCCATGAGATGTATGACAAAATGAATTACTTATAATATATATATATATTTTCTTTTTAGAGAGAGAATGTGCAATAAGGGGAGGGAAGAGAGAGAGAGAGAGAGTGAGAGAGAGAAAGAGAGAGAGAGAGAGAGAGATTCGGAAGCAGGCTCCATGCTCAGCACAGAGACTGACATAGGGCTTGATCCCACAACCCTGGGATCATGATCTGAACTAAAATCAAGAGTTAGATGCTCAATAGACTGGGGCACCCAAGCGCCCCAATTAAAAGATTTTTAATCATTAATTCATCCACTCACTCATCCTACATTTTGTGTTGCATTGTATTCCTCATGGTGAGGATGAAATGGTGAAATTGCACAATGGAAACCATAAGGGTAAAAGCTAAGTGAGGTCTCTGTCAAAAGGATGCTTAGAGTCTACTACTTCACACAATCTTAAATGCAAAACATATATATATATAACTCATGTGTGGAATGTCTTATTTAATTTAAGAAAGAGTTGACTCAATTTTACCTTTGTGTTATGAAGATTTTGATTCATACTTCACTGACTCTCCAAACACATTGCATTCACAGTCAAGCTCAGCATAGGATAATTGCAGGTATTCATTACTGCCTTCCGCAGGCCTTCAGATATTGTTTGTGAAGCAAAATAAACATATATAGCCACTTTCATTCTTGGATATTCTATAGTTGAAAATCTGACCATTAGGCAATGACTCCAAACCTTGCTTTATAACTTTTGGTGCACCTCAAAGGCTACTGCAAAGTTCCACAGGTCTTGACCCCCATTTAAATGCATTAGATGCACTTTATAAAAAATAAGGTTAGTTCATAAGCTCCAGGAAGCAAAGAACTTGGTATGACCTATAAAGTGTCCTATAAAATATCCCCAATTCTAAGCACTGTATTCTTAGTTTATAGTAAGTAATCAATAAATAAGCATTATTTAACTTATAGGAATGAAATAAATATATCCCATGATGAATATGCACTGCAAGAACTGAGGAATTGTAAAAAGAATAATGTCATGATAATAAAAAGTTTAAGAACTGCTGGCAGATACATGTCTGTGAGTTTGAATTTAATTGTGAATTGTGCTTGAAAGGCAGTGCTGTTGAATTAATGATTTTGAGAGGCATAATGGTGCAGCTGCAGTTGGAAAAGGATTGATATGTTTAGGGATGTGCCATCATCCATCATAATGCCATGATTTTCAACACTGAATGTTTGCTGGTGTTGAGCTGGAATTGTCTGTGTAATAGAAAGAATCTTTTCTATGGCAGGTACTTTGCAGAGTATTGCTTTGCTGATGCCAAAAACAAAAAAAAAATCAGATTCTAAATGGGTTAAATTTAATTTAAGCATGATAGCTTGAACTTTAGTAACCATATGGACCATATTTATATTCATGTGTCTAGATATTTTTGACCAGAATAATCTAATTCAATTTTTTACTTAGATTATTGACCCATAAAGCTAGTATGTATATGGATTTCACACACATTTCCTACAGAAAGGAAAAAAAAGATAAATTACGAAGCTGAAGAAATGAAGAAAGATCACTGCCCCATTAATTACCTGCAGTAAAAAGTATATATATATATACACACACAAATACATATATGTATACTCCATAAATCTTAAAAATCTTGTGTGCAATCAAAGTAAAGTCTCAATATTTTACATTAAATACATCACTCACATTGCCACCACATTTCACACACCAACGGGATTACAAGTAGCAAATCAAAGGGGCCTGATCTCATGTAAGAGTATAAATGAAAGTTGGACCCAACAGAGTGACTCATGCATACAGATAATGAGTGAATAGAAATCTTCTTTTCTTTGGTCAAGACCCTATTGATGTTCAGCTTTTACATTTGGAAGAAATCATATGTCAGTGGCATCTGTTGAGCAGAGGTAAAATGCTTTTGTTATCAATGTGGAATGTAAAACATTCCTCTAAATCCCTTCCTTTCTATCAATTACAGAGTCTGAAGAAAGCAACCAAAGGATCATTGTCAATAGGCCAAGAAATAACACTTCTTGTAAAATATTGAAATAAGCATTATTAACCAATTGAAGTGTTGCTTAAGGCTGCATTGATTCTTGATATTCACACCCACAGTTTGATATCTGAAAAAAAAAAACATGTACAAAAAAATAACCCTAACATGTGTCCTCCAAACGGATGCCATGTGAAAAATCACCTATAACCTATGGAACATTACAGAAGACCCAAAAAACCATTGCATTTTCACTGAAATATCTGTGTGCTCTAATGATAGCAGACAAAACCTAGAAAAAAATAAACATAGAAAGGGTACAATCATTGCAATGGACAGTAAAGAAATATGGAACTGGCAAACTGAAATATAATGAATAATTGAATTTAATAAGATTCACATGATATAAGGCTCTAACCGTCAAAATTGGTGAGGTACAAAGATATTGGAGAACCTGCCTCGAGGGAGTTCTTCCTGGGCCAGCTGTAGGTGATGTAAAGCAGGTAAGATGTTATTACCATGACCTTCTTGTCTGCCTTCTACTTCCTCAGGCTTCACACACTTTGCTATCTAGCAACTCATGTTAACCCCTTCTTATTAAGGTTTAGAATGTGCCAGCCTTCCTTTTGATACTATTTCTTTCATCCCACGAAAGGAATCAGTCTAAGAAATTTTATTTTTGGTTTTTAAATATTTAAAATCTATCCTATCCTAATGAGTAATTTCCAAGGATTTGGGATTCAATTAAAAATAGACTAATTTAATCCAGCAGAGAATGAAGGCAGCTCAAGTTATCTAATAAATTCTTCTTTGATTCCATTTTCATGGAAAAAATGTTCCCACATTTCCTATGAGTACATCATTTTGTGCCATTAGAAATATAAAACACGTTGCTTCACTAAAATTTGTGATGATTTCCATTGGAAAGACCATTTCAATGTGAAATAGCTAAAATTGGCCCCCCTGAAATGACTTTTTAAAATGTTTAACTTTGTGAAATAATTGTATGAGGCAGGTGTTTTAACCACCGTCTTATCATGTCACCTTCTTACTGAAGAGCCCACCTTTGGTTTTTACTGCTGAGAGCACCAGTTTTCAGGCATTAACGTGCATCAAAATTACCTGACGGCCTTGCTGAAACATAGATTGCTGGGGGTCCTCCACCTGTCGCATTTTTGATATGGTAGGTCGAGGCTGGGCCGTTCAGTTTGCATCTCTACTTGTTTCCAGAGGATCTTGATGTTGCCACTGCCCTGGGGACCACACTTTGAAAACTGCTGGTGTGCAAGACCATTTTAGAGTATTGCCACGGAAGGAGTGGCATCAGAGGGACTATAAGCGATGTTTTGAAAGTGACACTGTGTTCTGGTAGAACAAACTAGCACATTTAATTCAAAGCTGTTCTTTAATTCCTGCTCAAATAGACTAATCCTATCTCAACGGACTCATGACTGATCTGGCAGGAAAGAGTTCTTAACGCCAATTGGAACAAAAGTGAGAGGCACAGGAAGAAAGGAAGTCTATGAAAGTCAGTTTTCAGTTCATCAAGGTATGTATGTATATTCCAATTATTTTCTTTATTATTATTATTTTTTAATTTGAGATAGAGAGTAGGGGGGAGGGGTAGAGGGGGAGAGTGAGAGAATCTTAAGCAGCCTCTGTGCCATCTACATGGAGCCGGACATGGGCCTCGATACCATGACCGTGGGATCATGACCTGAGCCCAAATCAAGAGTCAGATCTTCAGCCAACTGAGCCATGCAGGCGCCTCGGATCAGAGTTGCAAGTTTCTAACAGGAAGCAAAACATCATCTAGAAAGTAACAGAACACGACAGGATGATGAGCTCTCTGACCAGTTTCTTGATAATTTTCCATCTTGTAACAGTGCAGATGGAAAACTGGTTTTAAAGGGAGAACCATACTAACAACAAGCACATGTGCTCCCTTATATTAACTGCAGTATTTTTCTAACGTTTATTTATTTTTGAGGGAGGGAGAGTGCAGGTGGGGGAGGGGCAGAGAGAGGGCGGGCAGAGGATACAAAGCGGGCTCTGCGCTGACAGCAGAGAACCCAGTGCGGGGCTTGAACCCATGAACCCAACCGCGAGATCATGACCTGAGCTGAAGTCGGATGTTCAACGGCTGAGCAACCCAGGTGCTGCTGGAGTATTCTTTAAAATATGGGCTTTTGGACTTTAGATATTAAATAATTTTGTACGTCTAGTACATAGTGAACATTCAGCACATCGTGGCAGCCTGAACATAAACGCCATCTCTTGCGTATTAGTTACTGAGACTAAATTTGGGAAATGTTTATTGGATGCCAACTCATTCCTTCTTTTTCAAAGAAGGATTCTGGTAAGTTTTAATTGTTAGCTGATTGCAGGACACTCCTATGCCCTCCATCCACCCCACTTTTGCTACTTCAGAAGTTGTGGAACTGAAGGTGGGGTCAAAAAAAAGATGAAACGTGGAACTGAGTTTTATGCCTAAATACTTGGAAACCAAGAAATCTGTAAATATTAACACTACCTGGTGCTCCCCAGGTAACTTCAGCTATGTGGGTGAGTGTGAACTCCTATACTTTTACCTTCCCTTCCTTTTAAATTCCAAGCGTAGCTCAAAAGGAGAAGCCCCACAAAAAGAAAAGCATTCTTTAGCTCTTTGGTAACGTCCCCAAATTCGTGAATTTCAATTCCAGGATCTTCCACAGTAGAGGCTTATATATTTGTTGAAGTTCACTAGTGAAAATGTGTAGGTATTATTTAAATCAAATAACTTAAAGAAAATTAATAATTATATAAATGTAAAAGTTGGTTTTGTCATGATTAGCAAC